AAAATGATATTTTAAATAAAAATTTTATTTTAATTAAATTAATTTTTTTTAAATGACATTATTTAATATTATAATTTTTAATACCTTAAATCCTAAAATTTTACTATTCTAATTTTTAATAAATTTTATTTGAGAATAAAGAAATAAAATATTAAATTATAAGTTAATTATTTATACTTTAGACAAATATTCTGAAATTAACATTTTTATATTACTAATGTAACAGTGATGAAGACAAAGTATATTAATAAAGATGATAACAAATTCATAACAACATTAATAATTAACTATCTCTGTAATGGTGGCCAGTTTCACAATGAGAGCGACGTCTATGACGTGGTGGGTTTCGTCGTTATGGTTGTTGCTCTACAATTTCAAGATGAACTTGTAGAGGATTTGCATCATCATGAAGGTCTAGTTGTTGGAATGCATTTGATGAATTACTAGGTTCATTAGTAAGTTTGTGCTGAAGATGGAGTTGTAAAATCAATTTCAAATAAATTTGTAAGAAAATCCTCCAATGTTATTGCAAATAAATATCTCGTGTTAATTATGTTTGCTTCTGACGTAATGTTTGGAGGAATTGATGTAGTCTCGTAGTACAACAGTGTGGAAGTCGTACCGATTTCAAATGTGCTGGTAGTCCCTAGTTGTTGGGCGTTCTTCCTTGGATGTTGTAGTTGTGGTGGCATAGACAGGAAATAGATGGAATTGGTAATGTACCATTCCATGTATTCTTGTGTGTGTGACACAATAGGCCTTGCATTGAATGACATGTTATTGTCAGCTCACATCTGTTGTTCTATATCTCAATCCATTGGGCATATTTTGTAACACAATTTTCATCCTATCTTCCTCTCATGTCAAATTTGTGGAGGTCGTTCAAATTATTCGGTGGAAAAAGAACTTCTTGGAAGAGACGAAACTATCATTCAACAATTGCAAAACAAAGGATGACGGTACATGAAATTTACAGCTGGACATCTCCGTATGCTTCTGTGGGTATTGATGTTTGCAAGTCTTGATATGACGCCCATAAAAATTACAAATAAATTTAACTTTGTTACTTAAGATGAAGTGTAAAGAAGAATTACCTTATTAGCTTGAATGTGATCAAACATTGATCTGTACCCCACAACATCATTGTGAGGTTTATTTCGAAAGTTTAGTATTCTACCTCCGCTCCATTTGCACACAAGAGGGTATGTTGGTGGATTACTAGAAATTGGAGCAATATGACATGCGATACTATGCCTAGGATATTAATAGTGATGAACAACCACTCATTGTTTTGTTACTAACTTCTATGTAAAATTTACCATTCCTCCAATGAAGGTGTGTTCATTTTGCTTCCAGAATAACATTTTTAATAATGGGAACAAAGATAGAGAGAAACAAAGAACAAAAATATATGCAAGTTTGAATTAAAACGTGTGACTTTAGATGAACATATTTATAGATAAACTTTGGTACGAGAGAGTAGCCTTGGAATCTATGAGAAATCAGTATCTCTTGGTCTGCGTTACTGAGAAGTCATTATCTCTTGGGATCACAAATGATTTCTCAAACCATTTGTAAAATTATTGAGATTGATCCATCCACACCCATCGTAACTATCTTAGCCCACAAAAAGTCTACAATGGGTTACACAATCAGCTATAGAAAGGAATGGATGGAGAAACAACATGCCATTGAAATTATCTTTGAAAATTGGGATGAGTTATACCATAAGTTACCTAAACAGTTGCTTGCAATTTGGACTTCATCTAGAAATTGAGTACACAATCGCCAGCATACAAGGGTGGCTTGCTTGACGAGGGAAATGTGTTCTTCAAGAGGTTGTTTTGGACCTTTAAGCCATACATTGATGATTTTGCCTTCTGTAAACCAATTTTTCAAGTGGATGAAACATTTTTGTATGCCAAATACAAAGGGACTTTATTAATGGCAGTTGCGCAAGACGGTCGCAACAACATAATTTCCATTGCTTTTGCTGTGATTGAAGGTGAAACTAGAGTTGCATGGTTCTTTTTTAAAAAAAACTTAAGGAAGTATGTAACCTCACAAGAGCAATTGTGCCTCATTTCGGATCGTCATGAGGTCATAAGAAATGCATACTCCAGAAATGAAAGTGGTTGGACAGAAAATAATTTTGTCCATGTCTATTGTATTAGACACATTGCACAAAACTTCACGTGACGATTCAAAAATGCTGTACTGAAGAAATATGTAGTCAATATGGGCAATTTTAATTTTTTACGTACTCTATATTATCATTAATATTTTATATAATTGTTTAGCTAGTTATATTAATTTAATTTATAATATTATTTTCAGCATATGGGATGACTAAACTGAGATTCTTTTACTATTATAACATAGTAAAAGATAATAATCTTGAAGCTATACAATGGTTATACAATATTCAAAGGGAAAAATGGACACTAGCATGGGACAACGGACAATGCTGGAGACACATGACAACAAACCTAGCAGAGTCAATCAATTTAGTCTTGAAGAAAATCAGAAACCTACCAATTTGCTCCATAGTCATGGCAATATACATCCTTTGCAATAAGTTCTTCATTGACAGAAGCAGGGAAGTAGATGCAATGATTAATGATGGACATATGTACTCGAAGGTTGCAACTAAAGCAATTCAAGATACACAGTCAAAGGCGAACATTCATAAAATCATCACCTTTGACAAAATTAGCACTAGATTTTTAGTCGAAGAAATGCAACATCCGACAGAAATTCAACTCGTAGGAAGATTTACAGTATTGTTAGATGAAATGTGGTGTGATTGTGACAAGTTTCAAAAAGTTCACATCCCATGCTTGCATGTACTTGCTTCATGCTTACACACGCACCACAACTTTGATATCTACATATCTCTTATGTATATCTTACAACAAGTTTCTAAGGTATATGAAGGTCACTTTAGAGAACTTAAACACGAAGACTATTGACCATCTTACACGAGCCTAACTTTGTGTCCAAATCTATAACTGAAAAGAACTTCAAAGGGTCGACCTAAGTCATAAGAATATATATGGACATTAAAGAACAACAAAGTCGAACAAAAAATTATTCTTATTATCACATTCCTGGTCACAAAAAAAAAATATATCCAAATATCGCTTAAGCTTATAGTTCTCGCCATTGATTTATGCTGTTGTTATTATTTTAAAATTTTCTTAATGTCATTTTTAATTTTATGAATCTCATTACAACTTTTAAATTTTTAGTATTTGTAATTTATATTAAATCTATAATTATATATATAATATATCTACATAATATTATTTAATTATGTTTATTAATATTAATAACATATTTTTTAAAATAAATAATTATGTATAAATTTTAATAAAGATTAATATCTCAAAATAAATAAATAAAATGGTTATTATTTAATACTTGTATTAATTTTATAAATATATAAAATTAAATAAATTATTATTATAATTTTTATTTTTTAAAAATATAATATTAAATAACTGAAAATATAATTTCAGAATATAATATTAATATTATTTTTAAAAAATAAAAATTATATTAAATAATATAATAAGAAAAACAAAAAATAATTTATTATCTTAAATTTGTCAAATAATTTGTAAAAAATATTTAAATTAATATTATTATTATTTTTATTCATTTTTAAATAATATAAAAATATAAACATAATTTAAATAATAAAACTTATTTTATTATATATAATAACAAAATATTTATAAATATTTATTAGAATAGCATATTAGAAATATTTATTTTAACAAAATATAAATATATAAATATAATTTTAATAATAATATTTATTTCAGTATATAAAAACATAAAATAAAATTAAAAAACGTAAAAAAAAGGCAACTCAGAATTTAATTTTCTGGAAATCGAATTTTGGTGGCCAAATTTCATCTACAAGATATAAATTTATTTGGATAATTAAATAGAACCTGGTATATATATATATATATATATAATTTTACTGTAAAAATTGCAAGTGAGATTTTACAATAAAAAAATACTGTTAAATAAGTCAGGTTGGATTAACCTACAAAATGAGGTAGTTCATGAAAGTTGTAATGGCTTGCAAGTTGATCTGTTAACCTGCATACTTGCATCATGTTGGGCCTCCTCCATTTCTTTTTCAACCTCATTATTGACGTAGATTGGACTATTATTTAGTTATCAAATTCAATCATCAAGGTTTCACTGTATATTTATTAAAATTTGTTTATTATATTTTTTTATCTCTAATGCTATAAAAAATTAATATTTTCAAATGCTCAATTTTAAAGAAGGCCATATTAAACAATAAACGTGCACTATAAACAAATAGATAACTTGTAAAGAAAGTCAAAATGGACCGTAAAACAAGCTAGAGAGTGGTCAATTATACATGACCATTGCCATACACAACGATTATTAATTATTATTAAGTACTTCCTTCAGCTCTTTGAAACAACTATTAGTATTTTTTATCTTAATTATAAAAATTAAATCTATTACTTGCTATTTTTTTATATCCTCATTTATTATAATATTAATATTATTAGAATACTTATTATTCATATAAATAAATATATTCAGTGATTTAATACATAATTGACTGATTTAATCGTTTAATACTATAAATATTTTTAAAATGCATAACGAATTCATAATATTTTAGTTTATTAATTCGAATGAATAGGTTATATATATATATATATATATATATATATATATATATATATATATATATATATATATATATATATATATACAAGACCAAAAAATATATTAATGACTCAACTCAACTTATTTGTTGGATTACCAATATTCCTATTACCCGTGATCGGCAGCATTGCAACGGTAAAATTATGAGGAAACATACGAAGAAGAAATTATACTCCACATTCCAACGCCGCCTACCCGATAACCATGTTTTTAAGCCAACTCTACATTTTCATCGTCCATGCTAATAACAATGAACACAGACAAAGGCCGTAAAGAAGAAACAGCTATACCTAAAGTTAAAATACCTTTATTTTGATCAAACAATTTAATTCTGCTACACCCAAGTATTTTATATGGTACATTACTTAGCTCTTTCTCAAGTCACAACTATATTCCTACCGTTTGAAAGAAGATATACGGGGAAGGGAAAATTCAATCAAGTAAAACATTATAATCGACTTATTTCTTACAACCGGGACTTCGATTGCTCCACAGACGCACTCTGCAATAGAACAGTGCAAATTTCATTAGAGGGCAATACCAAGGGCAAAAGATCGTTTATTTAGTATTGCAATCATCTATTGGGAAAGTGATACAATTTGGGTATTACGACAAAGACAGCTTCGTCATGTTTTCTTAGTTGTATTCAAAAGGTCTCACCTGAAGCCATTATTATTTTAAACTAACATGTAGATTCATCATACACAGAAGGAAAACGTTGGAATTTTTTTTTGTGATTCTGTACTTTAAAAAAAAAAAAAAAAAAAAACTCTTTTTTTAAGTCAGAAAAATCAGAACACCTTCAAGATGAAAAGTTAAGGCCAGAATGAATCCTGGATTATTGGAGTCCAAAGAGAAAAAAAATACTAAATGCATAGCAGTCTTGGTTATTTGCTGAAGTGCATAATCTGATTTAAGGATTCAATCATTTACCACCTCTAGTATAAGAAGACAAATTAAGGCTTGTTTTCAGAGCGATTTGGGCACGTGAATTCTAATTGTTAGAAGTTTAAAGCAGTTCAATAGATGGAAATAAAAGAACATAGGTTACCCACCAGAGGAATTCCTTTGGCAGCTCTTGCAGCCAAGTAGGCACATGGCTTGAAGAATTCTCCATACAACTCTGACCATTTCTCCAATCTTGAATATATGTATTTGGATCCCAGAGAGTCAGCCCAGAATATGATACCCCCCCTGATGAAATCAATACCAAAATTTAGGACAAGTACAGAATTTTGGGAATTGTGCCAAACAACTAACAAAACAAACCTGTAAGGTGGAAAACCCATGCCCATGACAGAAGAAATGTCGAGATCTGCTGCCTTGACTGCAATACCTTCATCAAGGACCCGACAAGCCTCATTCACCACAGGAAAGAATATCATCTCTATGATGTCCTTTTCTTGTAATTTGACAAGCTGTCCAGGTTCAGATCCACAACATCAGATCCAGAGCAATTAATGATAAAACTTAACTTTAATCTTGTTTCCTCACTGGCCCACAAATACGGTATGAATTAGAAAGGGAAAAAAGGACCTTAGGATCAACGGAGACATTAGAAAAGTTCCTAGACTTCTCAATATAGTTCTTCAATTCAGGATCAGGACTGGCCTTACGTTTATCATCATACAAATAAAACCCTTTGCGAGTTGTTTCACCTGTTACAGCACATGTTAAACAAAGATTGTCAGCAAATTAGTTTAGTAGAATACAGCAAAGCATTTCGTACGTACTTAAGTAAACATATTCCACATAAATATCTTATTAGAATTCCAATTGAGGCAGAGTTTATCTTTACCAGCTCGCTTATCTTCTTGCAGAAGTGGAATAAGCATTGATTTATAAGTACGCTCTGGAAAATTTTCAATAAATTGCATGCCAGTAGCAATCGCCACGCCAAAGCCAACGAGATCAGCCAATCTACATTAATAAATATGTAACAATCACACTCTTTAAGAATTAGCTGAGAATATCAATAACTTATCCAAGCATTAATACCTGAAAGGCCCCATGGGCATACCAAATTTGGTTATTACTTTATCAATTTGATAAACATCTGCTCCACGTTCCACAAGCAAGAGACCTGCTTGTGTATAGGGGAAGAACATCCTATTAACGGCAAATCCTGTGCAGTTTCCAACCACCACTGGAGTCTTCCTTATCTTCCTTGAAATATCTAGTAAGTCAACAACCACTTGGGGAGAGGTCTGCTTGGTACGTACAATTTCTAAAAGTGGCATAACATGTGCAGGACTGCAAAAGCAAAAGTCATATTTTTAGATTAGAAAGACGGGGCAGGGAAAAAGAAATTTCCAAAATACTAGATATCACCTGAAGAAATGGGCTCCAACAATTCGATCTCGAGACTTGGTCTTCTCTCCAATCAGATTCAAGTCAATTGTGGAAGTGTTACTTGCAAGTATACAGTGAGGTGGACAATACTTTTCAAGATCAGCAAAGATCTGTTGCTTTAAGGAAACATTCTCAATAACAGCCTGTCCAGACATCAAATACCAGAAGTTTATAATTTTCCCAAGCATTAGATAACATGCAACCATGATTTCAAAGTCAATAAAGAAATACATTTTGGGGTTCATTGTACAACCTCTATCACCAAGTCCACATCTCTGAAGCTTTCATAGTCAAGAGTGCCTTGGAGAAGAGAGAAGGCCTTTTCGAAATTTTCCTGAGTCATTCTACCTTTCTTAACACGACTCTGTAAATTTGCTGCATAACAGAGAAAAACACAACATAAGAATAACATCACTTATTTCATAATTAAGGGTGAGGTACGAGTCCAACCTACAAGAATTTGTTCTCACCTTTAATCCTATTTATACCAGCATCCAAGAATTTCTCATTTACTTCTTTCAAGATGACAGGGTAGTTACTAAGAATTAAAGCTGTTGCTATTCCAGAGCCCATTAGTCCACCACCAAGGATGGCAACCTTCTTAATATGTCTTGGAATCAAACCACGATCGGTAACTCCAGGTACCTGTTCATGTCAAGAGGTACTAAGAAATTCATATCCACAAAATTTATTCAAAATGTTTCAGTACTCTACATCAATTATCAACTAAATACATGCCAAATTTAGTCCTTTGGCCATAATTATCATATATAACCATTTGGACTTAGCTCACATGGTAAGGATGAAATTATCACAAAACTCGTTCCCATGTGTATATATAATTTGACTTTGAAGTAAATACAGACAGAGAGAAACCAAATTGAAACTTTAAAAGATAGAAGAGCAACAAAGAATTGTAGCTTGGTTGACAAACTGAGCTCCAAATGGGTATACTTCTTCTGTAGTAAAGGGACTTGAAACCTACACCAAGTACCATGTGGCTAAAGCGAAGCTGAGATTAAAGTATGGACTAATTCCACTTCCAAAGGGAATGGAAACAACACATAGTATTATTTATAACAAATAAATAGGAGAAAAAAGAGAATAGAAGAATATTTCTTTTCAAAACTTTCCTTAAATTCAATGAAACATTTACAAGATTCTATATAAAAGTTTATATTATTTTTTAAGCTATAATAATAACACTTTCTTTTTCTCAATAACAAGTTTCCTAACTTGGAAGGGGAAAAATAACGGTAAAATTAAGACATAAAACTTCAACACACCTTGGATGTTCCTCTTTGAGCAAAAAAAATGTGAACTAAACTCTTGCAAGTATCAGACCGTACAAGCCCTTCAAATGCTTCAGCTTCCTTCAAAGATCAAACACAATGTCACACACATTTCTGCAACAGAAATATGAAAGGGAAAAAGCATACCAGAGACAGATAACAACCTTCCAGAGTCCAGCACGGGGACCAGCAACTATGCCCGCTTCAATAACATCAATGCAAACCAAAGGATGATGAAGATTAAGAGCCCGTTTTTGAGTCTGAGCACGTGCAAATTTCAAAATCTCTCTCGCTTCCCCAAGGGGTTCTATTTTGTCAGTCTTGTAAAGACTAGCAATCCATGGTCGGCGGCGGCTCAAGATATCCAAGGCCCATTGGCGTGCAGTGTTCACCAACTCATCAGGTGACACCAAACCATCTACGAGCCCCAAACTAAAAGCTTCCTTCCCTTTAACCGGTTTTGAAGTCTTCATTTTTTTAAAAAACGTAAAGAAATTAATAAAAATTCACTAGAAGTCACAACTCTTAAACATTTTCTGTAAAAAAGAATGCAATCCCACTCAAAGTGGAGACTTGAACTGCTAATGTTCTGTCTAACAAAATTTAAACATAGAATTGTCAATGCACTGTTTGAATGACCGCCAATCATGAGTTTTAATACACCATTTTTTCTTATCAGTTCTTCACATTGAACATAAATGCAAAGTAATAAAAAGGAAGCAGAAAAGGTAGTATACCAGCATCATCTCAAGTGCCTTTGTCAAACCAACAAGACGAGGAAGTCGCTGTGTTCCTAAGACAATTTACATCTCCAGGTTAACAATATTAAACAGGGAAAAAAAAAGGAATCTGGACAATAAGACACACTTTTACTTTTGGTCTAAGTTCTAACTCCTTTTCTTTATAACCTTATTCTAGGCCTACCTAATACACAAACTAAGGTATTAAACCAAACTTGTAGTAAATAAATAATCTCATTAAAAACACAAAAAACTTAAACTTCAAATTGGTTTCCTATATAACTCTTGTCACTCCATGTCCAATAACAATGATTGTAAATATGTTTTCTAAACAGGGAATAATAAAAAAACATTAAGTATAGAGATTCATTCAATTTGAATCGATACACATAATATAAGTTTTTGAAAATAGAGAGGAATCAGTTACTACCTCCAAATCCAGGAATTATTCCAAGCTGAAGTTCAGGCAAACCTAGTTGAGCAGTTGGGGTGGATAACCGAGCATTGCATGCCTATGTGAGAAAGAATTGGTAATATTTAGTAAAAAATTAAAAAGAGTTTTTTCCTTAACAGTTAGTAATGCATACCATTGCAACCTCTAAGCCCCCACCCAAGGCAAGGCCATCAATGGCTGCAACAGATGGCTTCCTTGCAGCTGAAAAAAAAGTGAACAGATTCAACATAGCACAAAATGAAAAATGAATTGTGGATAAAGAATTTGATAGAAATCATACCTTCTATAGTGTCAGTGATGATTTCTACAGATATCAAACCAGGTATTGGACGCTCTATATGAGGGGAGGGCAAGGTGTTAGAAAAGGAATATGAACATAACAATATTAGAAAGATGCCCTGGAAAAAATTGAAAATACCTTTTGCCTCTTGAAGACCAGAAAATGCACTAATATCAAAACCTCCAGAAAATTTTCCCTTTGCACCTATTAAGGCAACGTAAGATTCAGTTATGATGCTGCAGCTATAAGCTAGTGGAGCAATAATTATCTTTGGTGAAGCCCAAAGCCAGCCAGCTGTTTTTCTTTTCCCTCGTGTTGTTCTTAATAGATCATTGATCGTAGTTCTTTACAGTTTAAACTTGTAAATGTCATAACAATATCGTATGAGTTAGTCTAGTTGAGGAAATAGGATGACTACTCCAGCAAGTTTGAAAGATATCATTGCTATTAAAGTTTGTAAGACAGGATTACTCAAAACAAATGCAAACTTTGAAGCTGGTTCGAAGACCTTTCAGTTTGATTGCTGATAAATACTTCATTATTTCATTAGATAATTTCCTAAGTTGCCATGCTCACATGATGGCTGGGGATTCAGGTAATCAGTTATAGGCTCAAGTGGGGGTTATCTATGACAATCTCCTCTTCTTATTCCAAAGTTCAAGATTTAAATTTTTCCCTTGGAATAAATGGGTTCTCAGAAGTTTATTATTTTTCACCATCCACCACCAAACCATGGTACTGCTTTAAACATCAAATCCTATATAATTACTAAGTCTATCTTGTTAAATTGAAACAAACTTAAGTTCCGTCCTTTCCCAATTATTTGAACAATCTCCAAGCTTAAAAGCTGTTTAATTCAAAAGCACACAGCAATACCTGTAACAACAATTGCCTGGACATCATCTCTCCGCAAAGCCTGATCAAAACTCTCCTTTAAACTGCGCAACACTAGAGAAAGACAGGAAGACCGATGAGCAACATAGTGTAATCTTAAGTAACAGAAAATGATCCAGAAAAATCTGGACAAGGAAACATCAAGGTGTCACAACATACACATACTGTTATATTAACCTGAATTTTCATACTACACCAGCTCAAAGATTGGGGAACAGGAAAAGAGAAAGCCAAAATGCAATCACCCAACAATAAATGACAGAACCAATTGAAATAAACTGTGATTTATTTTAGCTAAAATCTGTTAGAAGAAGATAAAGTGTGAAACACACGCATTCAGTGCCACCTCATTCATCGAACAAATAAAATTTCACCGCATAATTCCAATCAAGCTCGTGACCATCTGAGTTTCCATTACCAATGGATGGCAATGAGGAAATGGTCAAATAATGTTAGTCCTTATTGCTTAAATTTCACCGAGCAATATCAATACCGTTATATACAGATTTAAAACAAGAAAAGAAAAAATAGAACATTTGCGAAGATAAAAAATAAAATAAAATTGGGCATGCCATGAAGGAGGGGAAAGAAGAAAAAGGGTTATACCATCAAAGGACAGAGAATTGACGGGAGGGTTGATGATGGTGATGATGGCAACCCCGTCAGATCCAACCTCCATGAGCGTGCGTCCTTTGCTACCCATTATGCGATGCGATTGTTTTGGTTTTCAGAAAATCAACTACGAAGAAGAAAGAGGAGGAGGTGTCGTAAACGGAGTGTTCTACTATTCACGATCCTTCATAAGAAAGACTAAGCTTCAAATAAGGAGCAATAAATAGATCATACCATTATCATGTCGTATTATAGATTTATAATATATTTATATTTATATTTATGTATTACATTATGTTCTTATTTATGCTCCTATCTGCAGGTCCTGGTAGCTGTCCAACCGTAATTATCCATTGTCGATTTTTGTCTCTACTCGCCTTTTGTTTTTCGGTAAATTACTCAGCTATTAATCAATATTCTATTATTATTTAGTATTGTATATATTGCAAATGTCTTTATATTGTGATTTTAACTTTTTAAATGTTATTTTTATTATTATATTAAATTTCATTATTTCGTTTCAAAACTTAATTATTTATATTATGAAAATCAATATTTTTATTTTTAAGAATGTTATTTTTCTTAAATCATTTTTTTTTTACTTAAACTAAATTATCCAAGTGTATAATGTAATACGATGCCTGTACTGACTAGTTATTGTTTAACTTCATTTGCTCTAAATCTTGTTTAAATTTGGAAATTTTTTTATTAATAGTTTTCATATTTAATGTTTATAACAATAATAAAATATTGTTTCATATAAAAATTTAAATAAAAGTAGATATTTTCTTGATTATTAAAACATAATTTTCTTCTTGTACAACCAATGTGGTATCGAATTTAAATTTTATTTTCTGATCCAGATTAAATGTTTATCCTATATCAAAAAAGGTCAAAGGAATCCTTTTTAAAAAAAATATTAACTTTTAAATTTCTACAAACTTAAGTTTTATTTAATAGATGCTTTTTTTAACGTTTGTTTTGTTCTATACGGTTAATATATATTTATATATAATTAATTTTATTTTATATAATTAAATTTAAAGATATATAATTTTGAATGAAATCAACTGTTGATTAATTTTCATTGTGTTTTTTTTAATATACATTAAAACAAATATTTGATACAAATAGAAAAAAATTTATACCCTGTAATTAATATTTTGGTTGAAAGTTTATATAATATATAATTAACTAATTATACTATAATTATTTGATAAAGTAAATTATACAACAAGAAAAACATGTTAAAGGACTAAAAAAAATGTAATATTATAATTAGATATTTTTCATTTTATTTGTTGTTTTATCATCAATAATTTCAGTGAATAACTACTTATTGATTAAATAATTCTTTTTAATATCAGCTAATCATTTTAAAAAAATTATGAGTGAACAGAGTAGTAATTATAATTTTTTTATGAGTATAAACTAATAAAAGTGTTGATAATGAAAATAAAATAAGATAATAATAACAATTTAATAAGATAAACAGTAATTGAAGTAATCTTTTGCAAATAATATTCTAAAAACAAAAAAATTAAATTATTTTACTATTTATCAAATAATTTAAACAGCTTATGATAAAAATTATTAAATAATTTATAAATTTGTGCCATCAAAAACATAATTATAGATAAGATTTTCTATAATACAGGGTCTCGCGTTCAACATTTCATAAATACATGATATAGTTTCATGTTGTATTTTTCGTGACAGTATTATAAGGTATTTTTATATATACACAGTTAAAATGAAAATATTACAATATTAATTTTGACATGTTAATTTAATTCCCTTATATCATGCAAAATATTTATAATTCTTAGCCTTTTGTTTTACAAACTAATACTCTGAAACGATGTTAATTATATTTTAATATTTTTTTCACGTGGATCATATATTAAGAAAATTTTCTAATCATTATCATGCTTATCGTGTTCCCGTTACGGCTTGCCAACTCAGTATTGATTTTATAGGCACAAAATTATATGTATATATTTTTTAAGATAATGATATTTAATTGTTTTAAAATATAAATTTTGCAGAATATAACATGTTTTGATTATCTTGGAATTAAATGTTTTTTATATTTTTAAAAAATCAAGTGTATTTGTAATTTTATTTAATATTTTTTGTAAAACATTAAAAAATTTAATAGAATTATATTGTAAAAAAATGTAACAATATAACTATCTCCGAAATAAAAATCGTTGTATTGTATTAAAATAATTATTATCTAATAATTTAAAAATGATGGTTAAAAAATAACACCAAAACACGTTGTTAATATATTTTGACGTTAAGATATTTCCTAACTTTCAAATGAACTTCGTGAAATATCACTCTATTCAATCTTTTTATAATGTATTTGAAATAGTTCACATAGAATTCACAAAAATAGTTTATACTTTTACAAGCTTTCAATTTTAATTTTTTTTATTGTAATTTACTTTAATTAAACTCATGATTAAATTTTTGTTATCAATTTTCATATAAAAATTCAATTAAATTTATTAATTTGATATAAAAAAACTAAATTTAAAATATATAATTATGTCTAAGCAGTTATAATAATATTTGTATAATTTTTATATTATAATTTAATTTATTTAATTCAATACATAGTTTTATTTTAAATATATTATTATTATTAATGATTATTTGAATTCAAATTTAATGTTAAAATTAATAATAATATTTAATAAATAAATACAAAATTGCTAAATAGACTCATATTAATTTTTTAATATGGATACAAGATGAAAATTTTATATATAATATTTTTAATAAAAATGTATTATATACAACCTTTTTTTATCTCATAAAATATTACATAAATAAAAATATCCTTATATCAGATGTCACTGCCAAAAAAAGGAAATAATGGATGAGATATGGTATGGGTTACCTGTGAGATTGATATTTTCAAGGTTTGCGGTTCCCGACACTAACGAATATTCTTCTTTTTTTTTTTCAGATAAAATAAACAGGCCGTGTAAGATGGGCCTTAGGAAGTGGAATGTCATGCTAAGCCTTTTAGGGTATTTTAATCGCTGACAAAAGAAAAATAGTGCTATTTTCATTTTTAATATCATGGAGATTATTTTTCAAAAATTACATTTTACAAGTGATTTGGTATCTTTCAAAAAATAAATTTCAAAAGTCATTTATAAACTATTTCTTATTATATATCATCTGAAAATTAGATTTCAAAATTTATTTACATTTTTAAAATTAATTTTACGGAAGACATTAAATATATTTTTTAAAAGTAAAATTCAGAATAACGTAAATAATAATAAAAATAATGTGTAAATAGCAACTATCCTCTACGACTTTTGATAAAAGAAACACTATCGACGATAAAATATATATGTTTCTCTAACTACTGCTGATGTGGAATGGTACTTGCAAAAGGCACTCCGATGCTGAAGTCAGGATTCGGTTCTAAACAATAAATGCTATTTAATAATGAGAAGTCAACCCCTTACTGTATTTTCTACCTTCCTTTTATAGGCATTATATTAGGCTGATGGGCCTGCTGAGTCAACCTTTATACTTTGGCTCATTTTTCTGATTTAAATAATATTTTGATTATTACCCTTAATTGAGTTAATTATTTTTTAATCATGACGAGGGGTATCCGGCCTATTATGCCGAATAGGTACTCGGTTTCCTTTTCTTACAAGTGGGACCGAGTTGATCTTTATCAAGTACAATACATACTGCTGTTTCAGCACTCCTAATTTAGAAATTTAAGAACGTTTTTTTTTATTTATTAAAAAATAGTTTGAAATATATACAAAAAATATCAATAACATAATTTAATAAAAGCCTTTTTACTTTAAATTTATTAGTTATCTGAACATTTTGTTATTATATTACCCTCCTTTCTCATTTGTCAAATACTTAAATTTAACAGTTTTTTGGCCAAACAAAATATCATTCAACCAATTCTGAAATCACATATAAATGTCTGCATTTACACAGTCAAAACGTCCCTTTACCAATTTTATAAACATATAATCGTATCTTTGGGTTTGTTAGGTATAAAATAGTAAATCATTAAAATTAGAAAATTATTAACTTTAATATTCAATACTGAGTTAATGTGATTTTAATGTAACGAGTGCAATGGTTGTTAATAAAAATTTATTATGTTTAAATAATTAAATTTAGTTTTAATTTTTTAAAAATTCTTATAATTTATATTTCAAGTTGTCAAAGCAACAAGTTAAGGTAAATAAACATTCAAGATAAGTAATTTATAAATAAATAAAAAAATCCATAAAATAAAACTTGAGGTTTTAATTTAAATGTGATATTTAGTCTATTTTATATGATTTATTTGTGACTAATTGATAAATGTCTTTTATATTTAGGAGAGCTTCACACACCTTACATTGAAATTGTGTTTGGAACATGAGTATTGGAGGATAAATTTTGCCAACGAAGAAAGATCACGACGAGAAAAGTAAAGTTTCACTTGTTTGGAGAAATTGACATTATTTTTTTCGTACATGAAGAAATGATCAATGAAAGGAATGAAAATGTGAAGCTTAAATTTGATCTGTTTTTGTGACATGTTACGTACGTTTGGACAACCATCCACGAATCCTAGCTAGCATCTATGTCCCATACAAAAATAGTCCCACAAATTGCGACAATGCCACATAGCCATTTTGTCTTGTATTGGAGCTTTTTGGGGGGTTATTAGAAGCTATTAGGATCATGTTTTTTTTTAAAGAAGACTGTGTAAGGACATATTTGTACTCTACTAACTTTGTTTTATCTCTTGTTTTTTACTGTTCTACTCAGTTGAACGCGAGGAAAAAAATGTGTTTTTTTTTTTTCCTTTCACTTCCTAGCAATCAAGCAACATAAAATTTATCTGTTTTTTTTTTCTCCCTTACTTTGTAAAGGCAACCTTGAACAGAGTTTAGTAGATACAACATCAATGTCACCTTATTCCAACTTAAATTTTCTCTCCTTTTAGAACCAGTCCAAAATATCCATCGTTTAATAAAAAGGGTAGTTCAAAGCCTCTACTTCAAGAACCAGGTTAGGTTAATTTCATAAATTTCTGTAGTCTTTTTTTTTCAGTATCGTTTTCTTGGAGTTTATAAATTGGTTCTGACGTTCTGTTGATTATTATGGTTGCACTGTTGACGTTCTGTCGTTGGTTATATGTGCACCTGGCTATGTTTTGATGGTTTGGTCACCTTTCATAACCATTTTTAATAATACAAAATCTAACAATTTTTATTAAAATTCTAGTTAAATTTTGGAAATAAAATATTATATTTTAAATGATAAAATTGTACCTATTTTTATAATTCTTAATTATTTAAATATAATTTTAATAAACTATTTATCTATTTTTAATCAATGCACTTAACAAACTCTTTATTTAACATTTTAAAACATATTTACTTTCAATCAATACATACAATTAATCTAAAACTATTTTACTGAACAAAAGTAATTTCTTTTAATTTGAATTTATAACTTTTTTAGCATTCATCACAGCTTTTATTTTATTGTAACATTTTAAATCACAATTTTACTTACGGTCAAAACAACATCCCAAAATTTTTAATTAAATCAATCAATAAATTAACTATGAAAATACGATATCACATTCTGTAAATGTAATTTTATAACGAACACATGCTTGAATTGTATATTTCCAAAATATTATCTAAGCTTAAAGAAACAAAAGTTTAAACACTATTTGTTTGGCATGCGAATTTTTACTATTAATATAAAAAAAATAATGTATAGAAGTAATTTTAAACATCTAAAATTTATTTAAAAGAGAAATAAAGGGATAAAAAGGATGTGTGTGTTTTATTCAGGGACACGTTGGAGAGAGAGTTAAAAGCAGAGAGAGTGGAAGTAAGAGCCCCATCCCAATCCTAAATCCTAAATCCCAAATCCCAATTCGAGTCGAATCCATCCATCAATAAAGCCACGCTACTAACTTACCGTCATTTCAGTGAAGAAAGGTAAAACCTGAAATCTTAGCTCACAGTCAGAGAGAGAGAGAGAGAGAGAGAGAGAGAGAGAGAGAGAGAGAGAGATGAGCGAGGAGGCGAAGAAGAACATCGTCGGAGGAGGAGCTCTAATGGCGAAGCCCAACTCCGAAGATCGAAAGCCGTCTCCTCCTGCCGTCAATCCCACTCCTCCCAAGAAAGTCATCATCAAAAGTGCCGATATGCTTCCCGACATGCAAAAGGAGGCTGTTGACATCGCCGTCACCGTTAGTTCTTCTATACAAATTCTATTACTATTGCTATTATCTATAACCTAACCCTCTCTCTATCTCTCTTCGTTCAGGCCTTCGAGAAGCACAATGTAGAGAAAGATGTCGCCGAGAATATCAAGAAGGAGTTCGATAGGCGTCATGGACCTACTTGGCATTGCATCGTTGGTCGCAATTTTGGTACTCTTTATTAACTCCACTAGATCTATGCTTAGCTTACTCCTTCTTTACCTCTAATCATTCATCTCATGCTGCACACGCGGTTCCTTTTCTCCACCTTCCATGTCTCAAGTAACAACGTGTTGAAAACCTTTTTTTTTTTTTTTTTAATTTGGTGTGAATGAGTTGCCTCACCATTGGTTGGTTGAATATAACATTTTATGCTGATGTCAGTTATAGAAAACCTTGATTTGTGCTCCTCAAAATTGATAATAGTTCCCTTGGAAACTCAACTGTGAAGTTGGTTCATGTTCAGAGAGTTTTGCTTGGCTGCTTTTCTGTATCGATAAAGGAAAAACGTGTGTTTATGTTAATAATGAATTTAGGGAGTTCTTGGCTTTTCAATTTGTTTCTAATTGGAGATGGGGAATTCAATAGCGAAGAATTCTAGGCTGACTAGTGAACGTGGATGGTCCAGTTGAGTTTAATTATAGAACCGCTTGATGTTCTTTGGCTCTTGTAGGGGACTTTTGTATTCTTTCCTCTTTCGCTGAATAGTTACAATTAGCTTGTTATGCTAAAGGAGATATACTATTCTGAAGTCAGCCCTGTTTGGTTTTTTCGTCAGTGGATGAAGAAAATTTAGTTTGTTAATTTTCAATCTGATTAGTTGGGTGTGCTAGGGGTATAGCAGGTTTGTTGGGGAACAAGCTGAAGAAGTTTCAGAGTGCTATCAAATTGGTAGTTTCTATGATAATTACTCTGATCCTGTTCACTGTTTACGAAGTTGTGCCTTTGCAACAGTTTGTTGAATCTAGCTTTATGAAAATATCTAAAGTTCAAACATTATGGTAATGCGTACGCGATGGTCAGATGGTGTGATAAAAATTTAGAATTGAGTTAGTCTCACAGGCTTTGGCCTCTGATTTTTAGCTTTTGAAGAGACAATTAATTTATAATGATATTTAAGCAGAATGGAGAGCTCTTTTCTTTCAGGGATAGCAATTAGAGTTTTTATGCTTTCTCCTATTTTCCTGTTTAAATTCCTTTCTTCAATAATTCAAAGCATGCTATCAATATTTTGCACACATAGAACAAGTCTTTGGTATATCTAAAGCGAGCATGCTTTGTATTGTTCGTACATTTTCTATTAAAGATCTTGTACTGTTCAGTGTTATCCAATATAATATACTTTTTGCCTCTTACGTGGAAAAAGAAGTCAATTTTGAATCTCCCAACTTCTTTATTATTACGTGTATGTGTTTTTATATCATTCAATGTCTTCATAACTTAAGTTTGAAAACTTCTTATCTGCTTAAGTGATTTATTCTTTTATCATTCTGCACGTCTTTAATATGCAATAGCATGAGCAGTTGACTTAAGCTTGATTTATAGGTTTAATGTGATCAATGGAGTTGTCATTTTGATAATGTTACGAATAAGCCAATCCATTAGTTCTACTATGTTGTGAAATTATGATGTGATTCATTTTAATACATATTTTATAAGGGGTCCATGGTTGCCTGGTATTTTAATGCTGCAATTTGATATTTTAATAATGATAATCCCTTAATAGTTATTATTCTAAATAGTTTACACTTAACAAGGAGTTAGGATGACTCTAGCGTGTTAAAATTATGTCAAGATCTAATTGCAAGCTATGAGACTTGAGTCTCACATTAGAAGTATTGGATTCTAGTTTAAGGTTTATAGATCTTGGACTCTCTAACTACAACTGCTAGCTTTTGTGATGCGGTTTTTCAAGGTTCTTGTCACATTAATATTTGGCTCCTCATTCCTTTAAATGTTATCTTTTGTTGTCATCCCAAATGGGCCCTGAGGAATTTATTGGAAATTGTACAACAACATGAAATGTAGGATGACAGTTAAAATTATTTGATGGGTCTGATTGAAGTGGAGGATTAGCAGTTTACACAATCAAAGCTTGGTTTAAACAGTTAAACTCTAGTTTCTGTTTTTTGGAAAGCAAATGCTTACAATGTGGTTGTGATATTGGTACATGAATGATTTTGGGGGCAAAATTAGAAACTCCCACGATGTGGCTTTTGATGCCAATGAATAACCCTGATTTTCTTAGTTGATTATTTGAAAAACATATTTTCTTTTGGCTTTCCACTTGCATATGTGTTTCTTTATTTCAGCATACTACATAACATCATTTCAGTTTGTTTTCCTGGGCTGTACATATTGGATCAATATAAAAACTCTCTTCAATATAATTTTTTATAAATAAGGAGAATTGCCTTTATTATTTCCATGCTGAAGTAGAGATGAGTTATTAGCTCAGATGATGTTCTGTGATATTTTTCTCATCGGATTCGTGTATTTTATGGCATATTGTATGAATGTGACTAATTCAGATCCCTTGAAGTTCTACATTCTCATTTTGTGTAGCACAACCAGACCTTAACAAATCTCTTATTGTCTTGTGTCTAAAAGCACTATTAATTATCTTTTCTTTTTCCAACAAAATTCAGACCGCTAAACCAAGTGTAGATAGAATTGCTTGGTCATGCATAGTTTAGTGATATTCTTGTTAGCGATGTAATGTTTAGAATGACAAACCTAGTTTATAATTGAAGTGTGTCCGTGGACATTTTGCAGGTTCATACGTGACTCATGAAACAAACCACTTCGTCTATTTCTATTTGGATCAGAAAGCAGTTTTACTTTTTAAGTCTGGCTAGCGATATTCTGATGGTGACTAAAAAGTACGGGAATCGTCTTGTGATTATGCTGCTATATTTGACTCTTGTATGTATAAAATCTGCCAGGGCACAAACTCTTGCAGGACATTCTTGTGCTTGTGCTTTGTATATTTAGTTCCATGTGAACTGGTTCTCAAGTTTGGATATGAATCAAAATTTAATCTCTCTGCCTCTTTATGTTCCTTTCCATTTACTTGTTTTGGGAAATTCTGTTTTGTTATTTCATTATGTTTGTCTTTGTTGTTCCTCGTGCATTGTCATATATTTGCGGTTTGCCTGATCTTAAAGGCTGCGTGTACACTGTTAATTAGCACGAACCTCAGCCTGGATCCGCAGAATGGTTTGGCCTTGATCCATCTTTAACAAATATGATGTGGCTGGGGGACCTATCGGTGGTTACAATGGGTGATGTTAATAATTTACATGAAAAGCTCGTTTTGGTGCTTTTGCTGGACGATAGCTTGATTAGCTTGATTTAGACTCGGAGGAACTTTCTAGATAAGTATTTATAATTGAAGATCAATATAAAAGATAAGTATAAACGGCTCATAAGAGAGAGATAAGGATTGAAATCAAAAGACTAAAGAAGCATTAATGAAAATGCTAAAGAAGCATTGACTTTGTAGTCGAGAAAGGGATGGTTTCTCGCTGCCTTTCGCTTTCCAAGTGTGGACAATATATAACTTGAAAGTGGAATTTATCTTTTGTTGCCCTTAATTGTGTATTTGGCTTTTCTTAAGTAACCATTACTCCAAGGACTGCTTTTCTTTTAGCACCATTTTATTCGGAGATTTTTTTGGTTTATCAGAGTGGTTTGAAATGGGTGGCATACAGGAAAAAGTGAAAAGAAATTGCATACATGTTGCTTCCCGTTCATTAATATGAGAACCGTCTTTCAAATCAATGACGAAAGAAATAGTAAATGATGGTATAGTGGAACTGAAGCACTAAAATTATTCAGACGAGAATATGTATGCATTGTGAAAAAGAAAAAGAAAACAGGGGGGAGGGGGGAGGGGGAAAGTAAAGTGAATTCCTATTTCTAAACTTAGAAAAAGAGGGGGGAACTAGGGACTCTTGCTGAGAATAAAGAAAAGATACCATCCCATTTGTTCCGATTACAATGCTTAATTGTCTCTACAATTGGTGCTCTTTCTGTGGTTACCAGCTGTAACTCTCAAGAACTGAATTGGCACGTATGAAAGTATAGTATTCCATGGTTTTCATTCCTAGCTCTGGTTATTTTATGCATTTAAGATTGGATCTTAAAATTGAATTATTTGCATGTGCACCTTTCTAGACACATATTTTGAATAATACGTAGCGGTTGAGCAATGGGATCCCTTCAAGCCTAAATGTCAAGTTGCTGGTGGGGTGGGCCACTGGCCCTACTTAACAATTATGGTCCTACTTTGAGTGGGAACTTATTCATATTTTGGCAAACATCTGATTCCATGAAAAAGATCTATAACCCTTTTTCTGTTTTAAATTTTTATATTTGCGTAATTTTACTGTTGATTAAACTATTACAAATAACGCCAACCCTCCAAGTTGTAATGTGCAGTTTCTGCTTGATTACGAAAATAAAGTAAATTAATAATTAATGATAAAAATTTGGATAGACAGTTTGTAATTAATGATAAAAGCTAATTGTCTAATCAAATATATTTACAATAAGATAAAATAATTTTGTGCTCATTTCACCTTGGCGTATCAAATGATATATCCATAAAATTCAATCTAAAAACTTATGTCCATAATAATAAGAAAACGAATGCCAAACACGTCATAATAGACACCGGAGCAGAAACAACCGCATGCATAAGATTACCTCAAGGAAAGGTACGTTTTGCTTTTCTATCACCCATTTTCAATTGTAAATGTAGCATTACTAAAAGTTTTTGTGATTATTCCAAAAAAAATAAAAAACAAAGACTACATTCATACCCCTTAAATTTTTAACAAAGTTTCATCATATACCTTTTTTTCCTTTTTCTTTTTTACATTACTTCAATCTCTTTTAATTTATATAACTGCATTAAGGGAAATTTATGTAAAGTAAAATAAATAAATAAATAAAGGCAACGGATGACATCAAAGAATGCTAATTTGTCTAAAAGATTTAATTAAGTTTTTTCAGGACTTAATTAATCTGTCAGTTTAAGAGTTTTGAGGGAAATATGAACATCAATTTTAAACAAGAAGAACGAGACATCTACTATTAATAATTTAGACAAAATGACACCTTTTATCTACTACATTATTTAGACATCAATATTATATGCTTTCTTTTCATCGAACAAAACCAGAAGCTCTGATTTTTTAAAAGTTTCTCAAGTAATCTTGCACTTTGTGCTAGGGACATTTCACCTCAAAAATCAAGGTCTTAATGTCACCTGTTTCCGAGTTATTTATCGAGATGAATATACATCTTTTACTTAGAGTTGTACCAAATTATGCTTAAAGAATCCATCAATCATTTGAGTTTAGTTTAAGTAACTATTTATATTTTTTTATCCTTTTATTCGATGTTAGAGACCATAAAGTGTCTTTGGACTTAAAGGATACATGAATTAGTTACTGTGGATGTCGATAACGACTATAAACATGTGAATGGAGTGGAGGCTTACACTATTACATCAATTGTTGAAGTTATTTGAATAAAAATTAATATGGAATCTAAGAGTTTTTAGATTTATATTAGTATAAAAAAATTATTCTATTATATATATATATATATGATAAAAAAATAATATTATATTTATTATCAATTTAAAATTAATTATATTTATAAAATATTTAAATTTAAATTAAATGTTAATTGATCTTTTACTATTTAGTTTATAGAATTTTTTACTTTAGAAGAATTAAATCTTATTTATATACATCATAGGCATATTTGGAATATCATAATTTAATTATATGACGCTTGAAAAGTAGGAAGTTAATCTTATGCTGATAATGAAAAAATGTTTGCCTCATTAGATTGTAATTATATGTTTAAAGTAATTATGAGAATAGTGTAACGAAAAGGACCCCTCTCATAAGATTTACGTAACTTGTAATGTTTCAAAGTAACACGTGATTTACCGATTTATGAGATATAATAATTTTTCAGATACGCATTTTTTTTTACATTTACTTCTATCAATTCGTTTACGTGAGTTTTCTTTTCCAACTTAAAATTCTCAAATCTTCATTTTTTATTAAGTTTTTCACAATTTAATTGATTACAAAATTTTATACATTTTTTCATTCAAATTGTAAACTCTTTAAATCATTTCTTAAATAAAATTCAGAAACACAAGAAACATTTTGCTTTTACATTAATTCCTAGTCGTGTAGAACTTTTTAGGTGCACGTAAACAAACATGGAATATTGTAAATTTTAAGACGTATTGTTTTAATTATAACATAAGATACAATAATAACTCACAAAGTTAAAGTCATATATAACTTAATCTCTAATTCGGCCGGGATATTAAAATTTCTAGTGCTGTATTAGATTGCCTTTTTTGGCACCTAATATAAATACAAGTATAAGAAATTACTTAATTACATCGTTGTGTAACACAATCTTCTTGACTTGTATTCTATAGCACTGTGAGTGTTTCACACAAAATAATCTTAATATTAATCATTGTTAGTAAGTAGAACATCTAGATAATTATTTTTTTGCTATTGCATATAGATAATTATTATATTATACTATAGCACACGTTTATACTTCATTTTAATATCTCACGTAAGAAAATTAATGTAGAACGCATACAAAATTTATTTCAAACGAAGAGAAATTCAAATCTTAAAAATAAAAGAAAAAACTCACGTTAATTGATTGTAATTTTGTTGGCCCACTTGATTTTCTTTATTTTATCATGACAAAAAAATATCATATCACCTTGTTTAAACCTTTTTTTTTTCTAACTGAAAAATGGATTGAGAGAAAATTTAGTTTTTTATTTCTATTTTTCTTTTATTTTTTTACAATTTAAAATCTTCTCACTTTCTCCCTCTCTTTTTTTCCTATTTTTTCTCTTATCAAAATGTATTAGACACCATGGTATTAAACTGTTTATATGTCCGGAAACTAATTTATTTCGTCAATTTTTAATTTTTTTTAATTATTGTACTGCAAATGATTAAGAAGAAAAAGCATGTTATTTAAACACAAACACAAACAAGGCCATTATTGACAATGCATATTTTTAAGATGTAAACTGAAAAACTGGGACTGAGAAAACGGATAAGACTTGAATTTTAATAAACAAAGTTTTAAGCACTGTCACTCACTCTCGTATACATTATTTCATTATTGGAAGAATTGCTTGATGAACATTGTTTACTGAAAGTGATATTTGATTCTAATGTCTGTCATTTGGGTGGGCACGCCAACATGTGGTCCTCATAAGGATTCATCAATCTGAGAAGATGTTGTTTCATGCTTGCTTGCTTATTTTGATGCAAAATTTTTAAGTCGTACGTGCCCTTTGATCCCTACCTTTCTTCTTATTTTATATTATATCAGATAGCTATCAATATTGACCTATACGGTTTATAAGAGATAAGAGATCATAAGTTACCATCATTTTAAAATAAAAATCAAATAGATATACTTGATAAAGAAAGCATATGAATCTGGAGGTCTTTTTCTACATTTAATGACGGATTATTTTATCCCAAGGAAGGATATTCTTTAGGTATGAAAATATATTTTCAAAGATAACATTTCCAATAATATAATTATGTGTATGACAGTTATGGTTTTTTCTTTTAACTATGTTTAATTAAAAAAAGTATCTGGTTCACAACACACATTTTAAACAATATAATTATGGAAATGCCCCTATTATGTCAAAGATATTGTGTAAATATTATAGCTATTATGTAAATGACATCATTATAAAAAACAAAGTTCAATAAAATACCGTAAAATGTTTATTAAATCATTGGTTGGAGTACCTTAAATATGTTGAACTATCATCACACTGGCTCGATAATTAGAAAGAACAGTATCATTACAAAAGGACTGATTGGGTTCATGTTGTATACTAATTTTATACTATACAAATGAGATTTCTCTTATTGGTAACGAGCGAACGAAGAGAGAAAATGCATTTCAAGAATACACAAAATGGAAGTGGAAGAATATATTCGATTAATTTTGAGACTAAATGAGTGTGTGTTTATATATGTTATACGAAATAGAATTTCAACAGTAAGATTTATTAATCTATAAATGTCACAAAAATTTCACCGAAATATTCTCTTTAACTTAGCCCTAAACTAGAGTATCAAACTTTGCTCAGACCCCCAGATTGCGATCGAAAACAAATAACATTAAATTGGTACTACTTAATCAAAGCTAAGGGCCATGGCAATGCCAAGTTACCATTCAGGATTAGGCATTGAAGTAAACAAAACACTCGAAAAAACGCTAACGATAATTCGCTGCCACTTGGACTTGCCACGTATCCGATCAATTTAAAAGTAAGTACAAATTAACTGATTGTAAATTGTGAGTACGATCGACAAACGCGTCTAAAATAATCAAAACTACTTTTTCTTTTAAAAAATGGTAAGATTTAAAATATAAATATCAAACATCTTATTTTAATACAAATCATACTACCTGTTAGTGATATTAGAGAACCAATGCGAACAATGGGTTTAACTGATTAACATTATAAATGATTAGATAAAAATAAGAAAAATGCATAATTAAATGTAAATTATTATATGGAACCTAATTTAAACGACAAGTGCTGTCCATCAGCAGCTGGGGCCTGAAAATGTGATATATGGCATAGCAAACTACAAATGGAGTATAGTACTTACCCCGACAAATCCACAAATGCGCGTCACATAAGGAAACTTGACCAGTGTCGTGAATTGTCATTTTGGTTAAAAACAAACACCGCTATTCCTTGCCACAAGCCCCAAGGCCAAGGCAGGGTGGTGCATGAGCATTAAGCATTAACCATTCACCCCTAGTGTACCATCTCTTCCAAGAACCATCACCATCGCCCACGCTCATTACTTTTCTTCAATTTTAATTATCTATTATTAAACAATTAATGACGCTTGTTATAGTTGATTTCAACAAATTAAGCAACGATAAGATGCCACAAATACCCTTCCAACTGTCACCAACTAAAAATATATAAAGGAGTATTTCTCTTTGGGTTATGAGCAATAAAGCGAAAGCATCGCAATAACCACCGTAGAGAATGCTCTCACCTTTCGCACACTTATCAGTTGGACCCCAAAAAATAAAAGAGTTGAAAGGACATTTTGGCTTCATACTAGGAAGCAAAAGGGGAAGGGCAATGAGGTCATTACAAAACAAAACATGGTGATGAAGAAAAACTGGAATCTGGTTGCCAAAAATTAAAATAAAATAAAAAGATCCTCCCATTTCTGGTGTCTCTCTTCTTCTAAGTTATAACTCATCATCTATTTTTCACTATCATTAAGGAAAAGCACCAGCACGGTTTCTTGCTCCTTTCAGGTGATGACGAGCCGTTGAGGAAGACGCAGACGATGTGGGCCTCATCGCAACCACACAACACTCGTCTTTCTGAATAGCCTCTTCCTCATCCGTAAATATCTGCTTGCACCTGCAATCCACGCTACAAAACGCCCTGTCTCCTCTACAAAAATATCCATCAACAACAACAAAAATTAGCATCAACCAACAACAACAACAACAAAAGATCTGGACATTATGAGATCTGGCCTCCGAGAGAAAATCGAAAAAAGTGGAAATTTCACAAGACAAGAGCTACAACGAAAAAAACCAAAGATACGGGAATGTTTTTTTTTTTTTCCTTTATTACAAGGACTCACTTGTACATGTAGATGTCTTTCCCTGGCAAGAGTCTCTTCCCGCAGAGAAAGCATTGGTCTAGAAAAGTGGGTGGCTGAAAGGGAGAGTGTTGAGGAAGAGGAGAGGGTTTGTAGGTAGTGTTAACGAACATGGTGGTTTTGTTAATGACTTGAGGAGTCTCCTTGTTAACGCAACCCTTCTGGGCTTCTAAGACAACGCTGAGACCAACCATATTTCATTCTCTGGGAGTGTTGAAATTGTGCAGTGTCTATAGATGTGGTGGTGAATGAAAAATGTGAACATAAATAGCAGAGTGGAGAAGGAGGGAATAGTACGAAGAGAGAAGAGTGGGTCCCCTACAGCTATGGAGCAGTAACAAAGAACGATTAGCGTAGGCAAAGATTTGACTGTTTTTGCTGTGAAATTGCCACGTAGCAGTGTTATTAGTTTGAATTTCATTTTCCAAATATTTTTGGGGGTGGAAAATTGAGCCAGTTTTGTCTTGTTGTGTTAATGTGTTTGGTAGCAGCATTTTGGCTGAGGGTATCCATCGATCTACTGATCTTTTTTTGAGGGGAAGAATGAATGACTGAATAATGCCCAGTCGCATTTAACTTTAGTGAGAGCTTTTAGGTGAAGCACTGCATGGGTTGTGTGAGTGTGACTGCAATTTTTGAACGTTTGAAGATAAACACTTTAGGATTTGTCTTTTCCCCCTCTCAACCCACACACACTTTTACAACTAGCCAAAGCTAATCCCCGTTAGTACTCACATATAGGACGTGCCAGAATAATGACTAGCCACCCGCAATTGCTTCTTTCTTTTTCTTCGCTAACTTTACAACCCCTATTTCTTTCTTCTTCTCCTTCTTTATTCAAATCTGTAAATCGATACTTGTCTTGGACAATAAATTTAAACTTTTTTTAAAAAAATCTAATTCAAAATTTATCCCATTATATCTTCATATTATTAGACTTAATTTCACTTTTCATATTTTAATATCATTTTAATTGTTCATATTTATTTTTAAAATTTTTAAATATTTTAACTAAGTTGTTAATTTCAATGTTTTATCTAATAATTAATAAAAATATAACAAAGATATGATATTTTTATTCATAAAAATAATATATATACCAAATAAAAAATATAAAAGTTTAGGATTGAAAACTTAATTTAAATATTTAAAAAATTAAATGTGAGATATTATTATTATTATTATTATATAAAACCAATTAATGTGAAAGTTGTTTCTTAACATTTGTTTTTCACTTAAAATACTTTTCAATAAAAAATCAGTAATTAATAGAAAATGTATTATTATTTATCTTCGTATCACTTTTTTATTATAGTAAGAAAGCGAATAGAGAATCGGAACAAACAATTTCAATCGAGATTAAGAATATAACTTTTTATTTTAAGATTAAACTCAACGGCACTGAGCTTACTGGCGATATTCTTTACTTAAAATATATTTAATTTTGTGGTAGATAATTTTATGAGTAAAGTTATATTTAAAATTCATTTAACTCAAACTACGATTTATTAATTTATTGTTATGATAATAAAATGTACAGCATTTATTTTTACGTTTAAAACTCTGTTTGCGAAAATTAAAATATTTATACTTCCTTAAATTAGAATTTGTGTAAATAACTCTATTTTATGTATTTTCCAAACGAGCTCGTATAATGCTCTATAAAAAAGTATGCCGGGTATCTGACTTTAAGATGAAAAATCATTTTTAAATATCAAAACGACGTTTGAAATTTTATTCCTAGAAACTTTAAAATAATAATTATATTTGTTTATAAATTCAATTAAAGATATAGATAAAACTGACAAATTTGATTGATCTTCGTTTCCATAGGTGCTCCTGGATTGGAGATGGAAGGAAGAGACAAACGTTGCTCGTTGGTTACTCCAAGTGTTTCTTTCTGAAAAAATGACCAGATCATCTGTTTTCATTCTTTGACTCCTTTTTTATCCTTTCAAATAAAAATAACACTACAAAAATTTGATAATTACAAGAAGTGAGTGCTAAGTTTTACTAAACTAGAACTCAAGCTTCAATTAATTTCGTATATAAGATTTTAAAATTAATTTATTAATTATTGACTTTATCCAATTAATAGTTTTTGTTTAAATTAATCTTTATTGCTAAGTAATAAATATGATAAAAATAATAATGTCGTTTCACTTAATTTTATAAACTAATCTAACTGATATAAGTTGCAGTTCTTACAATTTTTCTCTCTTTTAATCACGTTATTATTACTCGAAACTCTCCTCTCTCTTTTTTCCTATTCATGACCTCTATACTTCCTTTTCTCTCCTCCTAAATATGCACATTCTCCATCTCTATTATAGTTTTCTTATTATAACTATCATTACTTTGGAGTTCATTGTTACTATCATTATTAATAATAATATTAATACAATAAAGATAATGTATTTCGATCAACTTAGTTTTTAAATTTGTGTAAAATATACCGTTTTCACAGTCCCAAGTGTTATTTATAACGACAAATTTTAACTATCAGTTAAACTACAGTAATTAATATTTAACAAGATCACAAATTAATATACTTATTTTAAAATTTTAAAGCTAAATCATTTGATGCTCACAGTTATTCTGAAAATTTAATCACCAATTATAAACCACGTTCCATCATTTTCTATTAAAAAAAATTAAACACAATCGAGATCAACGGAGTAGGTAGAGTTTAGGGTATTTTAAAGTTTCAAAATTAATACACTCTCATTTTAATACCTGCACTTTTTTTTCTTAATATTTTTGTACTAAAAAATAACTTGTTAACAAAAGAATAAATATTTTTTATTATATTTATTTTATTAAATTTGTATGAATATTAAATTTATTAATTCAATTGCAAATTAAAAAAATCATTAAGTTTATAATACTTTATATGTTAAAAAAAATTTAGATACTCCATTAATAAGTTTTTTTGTAATATATAGTGTATTTTAAAAATATAAATAAATATTAACTATAAAATTATATATTTATAAATATTTAATCATTTAAAAATTAATATATATAATTATTAAGATAATAGCATATAATTTAATAGTTAGCGTTGTCAAATTCATATATATATATATATATATATATATATATATTTTAAATTATTAAACCACATAAACATTTTTAAACAAAATTAATACTTTAGTCCTCAGATTTTATTTTTTTATTTAGTTTAATTTTTTAATATTTCTTATTTTATTTTGATATTTTAAATTTATTTTTTTACTTTTGGATTGATTTTCTAACTTTTTCAGTTTGATTTTTTTAATTATTTTTATCTTTTTCACAATTTTATGAAGATCATGATCATCTTTTTTCTCCCTCTCTTTTTCTTGTAATGAGTGTTTCTTTTCACTCTAATGGTAAAGCAAAGTAACTTCAATGGAAGATTAGTTTCTCGAGAGTAATGATCTGTGTCTTATTGTTTTAATGGTAAAGACAATGCTAGTTTACATAGTGTTATTTAGAGTATATATTTTCGAGGTATGTTTCATGGTGAATATATCGGTATGTCTTGCGCTAGTTCATTACGAAGAAAGCATGAACTGTGACGGCCATGGAAATTTCGGTGGTGGTATACTAACGGGCTTGCAAAAGAGTTTTGACGGTGATGTTTGTTTTAGGTTAGTAGTGAATGTGACTAAAAGAAATTGAAGTCATAGTAATTTTATTGGTTGAAATGGTGGGTAGTTGTCATTTTTGCATTATGGATAACATGGTAGAGATGGTGATATTTATTACAGGTGAAATGAGAAAAAAAACTATTATTTTTATTTTATTGTTAAGATGGCTAAAATAAAATATACATTTAGAGGATTGAAATAAAAATTTGAAAAATAGAAGGATAAAAGAATCAAACTGTTACAAAAAAAAATTTATTAATTTAGCCAAAATCTTAAAAAAATGTGATACACAACTGAGAAGTCAAGTGTTTTAAAAGTATAGTATACATCAAGAGATTATTTTATTCTCATAAACAAGCATTCTGATTTATTATAAACTAGTGATCAATTCCTCTTTTTTTTTAAACAATATATAACATATTTTAACATTTTAAACTTATTATCGTATTTTTGTAGGATCTTACAAACTAATATTCTCAGAGATCTGATTAAGAAATTGAAAATAGTGTGTTTTATTAAGATTTATGTTTGACTATATTAAAAATTATTTAAAAAATGTATTTATTATATTTTTTGACAAAAGTTTTATACTTTTAGTTCTTTAGCCAGTATCCTAAAGATGTTGGTTAATATTTTGTTTATTTCCAAAAAAATCAGGATAAAGAAATATTATCATCTTAATCTAATGTTAGACACAGTTTTTTTTTAGTTAAATAGCACTTGCAATTGGGTAATTAAAAACTTGTCAACCAGATAATTGAAAATGTTTTGTTTTAGAAGTTTAACTATAAGTTGTTTTAAATAAAAAAGTTTTAAAAAAATTAACACGTGTATATACATAACAAATTATTAATGAATTTGTTTGAATTGATATTTTCCATAGACATAATTGAGATTCTTTCTTCTTCTTTTTCACGACTCTCCCCACCCATTTTTGAGTTTTATTTCGTTGAATGAAGCCAACACTCAGATTCAAAGTCATGGGAAATTATTGTATGTAATAACGTGCGACAGATTTCAAAATTCAATCTTACTAATTATTTCCCAGTGTGTTTTTTGTTTCGATGAAAATATTTAGCGATATATAACGAGCAGATATTCTTCGAGTCATTATCTATAATTATGAAATGAAAGGCAGCTCCACCCAAAAATTTTAAAAAATATCCACTAGTTCACGTATGCTTGCTTGATTAGAGAGGTTGCTTACTGATAATCATTAAATTTCATACATCTTAGCAAAAGTCTACCAAAGCAACACGCAAAATTCGTAGTGACAACGAGAGGTGAAATTGCATAATATAAGCAAGATCTATGTTTAGACTCGAAAAAGAGCACGATCTATGCATATACACACATTTGTAAGAATGAAGTTTCTCAATTACGTGCCCTAATTAATTATATGCTTTCACTTTCATGCTTGTCAGTTAACTTCTTCACGTTAGCTCGTTTTTCTTCACCATCAACTTGTAGCTGTCCATTAAATCGAAGATGAAAACGATCAACAAATAAATGCATCGTCTATATATTTATAATTTAACCACCGCAATATAGTTTGTCAA